ATAGCTGGGTGTTATGACCTGTGCCTGAAGTCCCAGCTACTTGGGAGTCTGAGGTAAGACAATAGGTTGAGCCCAAGAGTTAGAGGTTGCTGTGAGCTATGACACCATGCACTCTATCAAGGGCAACAAAGTGAGACACTGTCACCAACCCCCCCAAAACAAAAATATATATATTTTTATATGTCACCATATATATGTATGGTGACATTATTGGGAAATCACCACATCATTTCAAAAGTAAATAGAATGGCTTAGTGCCTGTGGCTCAAGTGGCTAAGGTGCCAGCCACATACACCTAAGGTTCGAATCCAGCCCAGACCCGCCAAACAACAACGACAGTTGCAACCAAAAAATAGCCAGGCGTTGTAGCGGGTGCCTGTGGTCCCAGCTACTTGGGAGGCAGAGGCAGAAGACTCGCTTGAGCCCAGGAGTTGGGGGTTGCTGTGAGCTGTGATGCTACGGCACTCTACCCAGGGGGACAGCTTGAGGCTCTGTCTCAAAAAGAAAAAAACCAAAAAACCCCCCCAAAAAACCCCAAAGTAAATAGAATGTTAAAATTATGTGCTAAGATTTTTACTCAAATATACTTTTTTCCTTTTGATGCCTTTGATATAAATTATCTGTACTTGTTATTTAAAAAGTTGCATTTTTGTTTCAAATACTTTCATGCTTATTTCAACCTGTCAAAGAAGATGGATGGGCTTTAAAAACACTCAGCTATTTTAAACAATAAAAACGATATTGTTTAAGATGTTGTTTTAGCATGTCTAGTAGTTTTCAGATGTTGTCATTTGTTTTACATTAAGGCAAAAACCTCCCTTTTGCTTTGCTCAAAAAACATTCACGAAATGGCCTAAGTTTTTGTTTAGAATATTCTTGCAAGCACAATCAGATGGCAAAACAAGCTGACATGTCACCTTTTGTTTTATCTGAATCATTTTCCAACGTCAAACCTAAGGGAAAACAGCCAGCATTCCGCAGACAAGTTTCTGTTATGAGATTCTGAGGTGAAGTGGTGTGAGATAGTACTGTTACCTAGTGAGTACAGACCAAAAGGACAAAGATTAATTTCAGCACTTGCCTTTCCAATTTCCCGCCAGTGTTAAGTTCTCCCTAGGAACAGCCATGACAGAGCCTTAAGCCTCCCAAACTCTTCAAAGAGCTGGGAGGATGGCTGGAGAGAGGGTGACTGGTGGGATCACGCCTATGGTTCATCTTATAAGGGTACATGTGAATCTTTCTAAATGTAGAATATAAATGTCTTAACACAATAACTAAGAAAATGACATGAAGGCTTATGTTAACCAGTTTGATGAAAATATTTCAAATTGTATATAAAAATAGCACACTGTACCCCATGACAGTATTAACGTACATAGCTATGATTTAACAACAACAAAAAAAATTCTTCAAAGAGCTAACCAGCTAACATGAACTCAGAACTGTGCTCCTGATCCCCTATTTATGGCCTAACTTCTCTTTCTTCTATGAACAGATACTTGCTCAGTCTCAGAATGGATGATATCTAGATATGCTGATGAACCAACTGGTCTGTGTTAAAATACCCCTTACTGGAGTCATCTTATTGAGGCTCTTTCTACTTCTCTCTCCCACCTCTGTCCAATCCCCTTCCACTGAGTATCAGCATCTGGTTGCCCCACCCCAACCTATCCTGCAACCTGCTCCTAGATACACCTTCTCTGGACTCCATTGCATTCTGCAACTCCCAAGCTCAAAACTTTCAAGAGCTCTCCAAAGCTCCCACAATAATCTTTTTGGCCTGACATCAGAGCCCTCCATACCCAGGTGACAACTTCACAGCTCTGATCCATGCCAACCTCATGCCCCACTCCATTGGCTCTTGCCCGTGGATGTTCTCCAAACAACTCTTTCCATTCTTCAAGCTACACTTTCTTTCTTTTTTTTTTTTTTTTAGAGACAGAGCCTCAAGCTGTCCCCCTGGGTAGAGTGCCGTGGCATTA